TTTTAGCACTTCAGAAGATCTATGCTTGTTTCAGCACATCAGAAGATCTATGCTAATTATACAATCAAATTCATGCATGTAAGAATTAACGTGAATCGAATAGATGACATGTATATTGACTGCAGAAATCATATCCTTCATTAAATGGTAACAGAATTACAATTCGTAAGGATAACGAAACATGTTCAGAATGACTACACTACACTAGGCTAGATTATGCTATGCTACGCTACTCCTAAAAAGGAAAAAAGAAAGGTGGTCGAGAAATCGTACCCAAAGCTGTCTCGTATGCACAGTATGCCTTATGTGCAGGCTGCAGAGTGCGTGTAAGGTATTGTGGGAATTAGATTTCTGACCCTTTGCGACGAGCATGACTCGTTTAATTTATAAACAAAGATTTGGGAAAGGTAACTGTTTCTGACGTGCCCCGGAAGTGCAGAACCGTTCTAAACTTCCACATCGTGGCTTATTCCTGGGCACGTCTTTGGATAACTCTTGGAACTGCTCATTAATTTCCCCAAACCGTTCTGCAGTCTTTGACACTTATCCCATGATTTACTTCAACCGCTGTTAAATCATGTCTCCTTAGAGGTTACGAAGTGTATTCATGTATGTCCGGATCCTTGGGATTTCGAGTAACCAACGAAAAATATACTTGAGTGTTTCCTGATTTTCCTTGTACTTTGAGAGGTTGCGAGGCTGTGAGCCTTTCTCCTTAGCAGCATCCTTCCCGGTTCGAGGATTTCGAGAATTTCACGAAAAATGTCTTCGCGTATCTCTTTATTCTCTTCAGGCTTCGTATGTCTTCTTTAGAAACTCCTTTGCCATTTTTCGATCACCTAAGATTTCGAGCACCCCTGTATTTCGAGTATCTCCGAATTCATTTTCTGGTACTAACACCGATAAATGTATTTCCCCTTTTAATTTATATATATACTTTATTTTTCAAAAATATTCTTCACCTATAAAATGATTTCCAAAATGTAAATAAATTCTGAAAAATTTTAACATTTATGAAATTTAAACTACGGAAATGCTGCTCTTATATTATAACACTTACGAGAACTAAGTTTTACAGAAATGATAGAAGATGGGTGCTTGTGTTGGGCTGTTGTGCACGTTGTCGAGTAGTCTCACCAACACTTCTCTTGAACTTGGATTTTTCATTTCTTATTGATTGTTCATAATGGCTCAGTTTTGCTTTTACCGTGGTTATGGAGAAATGTCAAACTCTATTTTCAGGTTGTATTTTGCTTTCCAAATCGAATCGGATTTCGCAATGGTCATGTTAAGAAACCTGTTCA